AGCATTTCAGCTGGGATTCCTATTTATAAAATTTTCACTCACGAATTTTATTGTAGTCTTACAACTTATATATGCCATATAAGTGAGCTGTTGATGTGTATGTCAAATCTGCAAATAAAAATAAAGCAGCTGTTGAGCACATGACATAAATCTGCCATCTCTTGCATAATCAAAATCTTTTCTTATGATCAAAAACTATTTGTGAGAGCACAAAAGCATGAGATAAACTCACAAGTTTGTACAATTAAGCAGTGACAGAGAGAACTGATCAAGTAAAATTGTCATAATCTATTAAAAACAAGCTGACAACATGAAAAGCTGGAAATATGAACTGGGTATAGACATTATCTGTCAATGAACACAGACTATACAAACCATCCTTCCACAATGCCCCATCTTCCCAGTCTCCCTAGGACAATTGCACCAGGTCAAGAATAAAGCTGACAGTCAACACAAGCACACAGAGCTTATCTAGGTCTCCAATCCTGCACATAAAAACTGTAACACTGCTCATAACCTGAAGGGATTCTGCCACTGCCAACCTATGATCCATGCTCAAGAGTATCAGCAAATTTTGTGAGATCTTAAAAGCACTAGATAGAGAATGCCACAGAATGTCAGTGACATGAAAGAAATTACAGTAAATCATAAAAAAAAAAAAAGATAAATCATTTGGTTCTGATGATTTTCAAAACTGCTGACACCAAGACACGGCTTCAGAAAGCTATTCAAAACCAGCAGTCAATCCCAAAGCACAGGTCTTTCAGTGCAGATGTTTAGTGGAAGGAGGGGGCTTGTTATATTTTTAAGAAGTTTGAGAAACACTGGGGTCACATTGGAAATTTGTATGCAAAAAGAAACCAACACAAACAAAACCCAGACTTGTCTCCTGATTAGATTTTGTAACCTTGCTCCAACAAACCCAGCTCTACTCTACAGGCACTTCTCCCACTAAGAGCCTGCCTTCATGCTACATTTCAGATTTGAAGCAGGTCTTGAAAACACCTGAAGTCTCCAGATGGCACATTCATACTAATTATATTTGTAGAACAGCTTTTAAAAGTCTATGTGATATCGAGACCACAGCACGTTCTGTGCAGCTAAACAGATCTCAATGCGCTTAAGCCTTCTTAATTTCTAGTCACGTTACAAACTCAGGCCGCCAGGTGCCAAGATCTGTTACCTTGCTTTGGCAAATCTCTTAACATGACACTGTCAATCAGTTAAAAGGAGACAGTGCTGACTTGCTCATTTGCGCAGACCAAGTAATTGTTCCTTCTGACTTTCCCTATTTATTTTGCCTTGTATAATGTACAATTAGCAATGTGCAAGACTGTCATAAATTGGACATTACAAAACACTATTTTCTTCACAGAAGTTCTTTTCAACATATCCTATCAATTTAAGATACGAAGACAAAAATCTTATTTTGATGGAGAATGTCCTAGTAAATTAACAACTTCTAAAGCACCCTGAGAATATATTCTATCCTTAATATCCAGTTTAAAATGTGCTCCTCTTAATGATCTCTGCACTAGGTCTTTAATCGGCTTGGCTTATTTTCCACTACTGTACGACTCAGTTAATCACTCCTCTTCAACAAAACATTTCCAAGCACTTCTCAAACCTGTCCAAGTCACACTGCATTTTTTATGCCTCAAAGCTCAACTGGGTATCTTGTCAGACAAATTAATACCCGTAGATAAAAGAAAAGCTTTCAAGCACACAAGAATTTCCAGATTGAAGACATGAGCAATGAACTCCATCCACAGATGTTCATCCACAGAAGTTCATTCTGACTTATGTAATACTGCTTTATCTAAAACAGTGCTGTATATTTCCAATTTCAACTATTACTACAACCCTACAAAGTTATTTCAAAGGTTTTCCTTAAAAGGCTTTTAATGGCAACTCATCTGTCACTGCCAACCTAGTTTCTTTAATAGATCTCAAGCCTAAAACCTCTCCAACTTTAGCACAAAAATCTTTAAACAAACAGAAGACATCTCTTGCCTTTTATATAATACTCACTGTTTCTCCTAAACACAGACCCTTTCCCCTTCCTCTACAACTATTAAATGTTGCCCTTACATGCTGCCATTTGTTAGAGTACCTGTCATTATTCAGTTGCAACATTTTTACACTAGGAACAGCAGCTATTTTTGTTCCTGCTTATATCTAAATGAGTGAAATTACACATAAACCTGAAAGTTCTGGGACTTACTGTTCCTGAGCTTTAACTGTGCATGGAACACTGCTTTAACTACTTATTCTCCATTTCCACAGAAAGTGCGTGCCCAACCTAGGCATAAGCACCACCAAAACAGAAATCTAATTAATTGTAGCATCCTCTAAGACATACTGCATGCTTTCCAAAAGGGCAGACACTCTGCAATACAGTGATTAACTTCTCACACCAATCACACTCAAACTCCACCCTTGCACAACGTTTGCCTAGATACAAGGGGAAAGGTGTCTGCAGAGTTTCTTCTGGGCAAACGTTTGCTATGAAGGGCTGATCTAGGAGACTTCAGTCAGGTCATTGCAAGCAGTGGCACAAAGAAACACAGCATCCTTCACTCACCATTTGTGTACTGCATCAGTAAGAGAGCTAAGGTTATTATTTATGTCTCCTGATAATCACATAGAGGCCTGGACCCTGCCACATTACATATTATGCACTGTCTGCATCCTAACTGAAAGTTTGTATGTGCAAATGTAGTAGCAAATGCACTAGATTTAGTCCAAAGTAATGGTTATTTTAAACTGTAAGCAAATAGCTGTTTCAATGTATTAACTCTCAAGCTATTGTTTAGATTCCATATGCAACACGGCAGCAGCAGCTCTGAGGCATACCTGTCACACATCAACATCTAGATTTTAAGTTAACTGCAGTTGAAAGCCTTACGAGTACAAAACTCAAAAGCTTAAATTTGGTGCTCTGGTAGTTAGCTGCTTTCAGAAATACTGTATGTCACTGCCTTTAACTGTCTTTTCATTTCTACTGCATGATCCAGTGATAAACAACTACACACCATGTACCTTTACTCTAATGCAGAGCTAACCAGCAGAGGGCACTTATATCAGCAATCCCTCTTCTAACTACTTTGACATCTTTAAAATTATCCAACAATCTTGGTATACAAACAGGAACAAAGATGATTGTTTGAATTTCAGTGAGGCTAAAAAAAGCAAGAAAGGATGACTTGTTGAGAAGGAAACTGAACTGGCTGTACAGTGGGATAAAAAGAAATTGAACTCAGAGCAGTCAACAAGGTTAGGGAAAAAAAAATCTAGATTTGCTCGAGATTTAAAAAACCCACATGGTTTCAGACACATAAGCCCTTCAAAAATTTGGTATTAAATTGCTTCCTATGCATTCAACTTCTCACTAGTTTGCCTTTTAAAGAAAAGGCATTCAGGCTGATTCTCAACAATACATTCAGGCAAACATGCATCCCTGCCTTAAAGAAAAAAAAAAAAAACAACACAAAACAAAACTAGAAAACCCACCAGTAGTTACAAAATGTTTTGTTAAATGATTTTACACGAAGTTTTAAAGAGTTTATATTCAGCTACGCAAATCCACACTGAAGATAACAACAGCCTACCACAATATCCTACCAGCTAAACAGTACCCATTGTCATTGCAACAAAAAAAACTATAACTCCTCAAAGATTATCCCCTAATTTGTAAAGACTATTTCAACACAATTGCATGTTTGTTTGCCTCACTCTTTCCTCAGCCCCTCCAGTGCTGCAGTTTATTCTGGCTGGGCAGATTCTCTCCAGTACAGAAAGAAACTGCAGGGTCAGGCCTTCATTTCTCCTAATTGTCTACAGGAATTATAAACAGAAGTGAGAACACAAAAGCTGGGATATCTGGCTTTAGATCAACACGAAAGAACTGGCACACTTGACCTTTTTAAGTACACATCAACCAAGAAAGAGTAAAATCCTAGATGTAACACTAATCTTCTCCATGTTTTCTCCAGTTTATGTCTGGTGTTTTAATCTCATATTTCAGTATTGAGACAGAATTTGGAAAGAATACATACGACTGACATTAATTAGATGTGTGACCCAAGTCATATTATTGAGGTTTTCTCCCTACTGACACAAGGATATTGCACTCCCTGAAATCACATGCCTCAGTTCACTTTCCTTAGACCTTACATAAGGCAAGATTTCTATGACAAAATCTGTGTGTTCAAACCTCTGCACGATTTATTTTTGGATGCTTCTTATGAGCAAGCAAGGGAACGAAAAACCTTCTGATCTGACAAGTAAACCTCCTATTTGCTTTGAGTAACCATCTGAAAGAGATACAAGTAAAAAACACTACGCAAATAAATACTACTGAACATAAGACTGTTCTAGCCATAGGAAAAAACCCTTAGTAAGATAGCAATCATCCACACACCATAACAAAACTGTAGTTACAATCACAATGTGCCTTCTTTTTATTTTTTTTTTTTTTAAGCTGAGCCATCACTGCAACTTACTGAACTATTCACTCAGGACAAGACATCTTCTAAAGCAATACCTGTATTCCGAACCAATGCATAGAGAGAGCATTCAAAGGAAAACATTCACATTAAGGCTCTAAAGAACTACTTCATCTTCCAAACGCTGTTTTTCCTAAAAACCTTCGCGTTTCAAACACATTTCCATTTATTTCTGTCATAAGACCACCCCTAGTTTAAATGACTCAATACGATTTTACCTTTCATCAGTAGATGACAACATGCTTTCCGAACGAGGTCAGTTAAACTTTGTACATCAGAACTCTGAATGTTCCTTTTATAAAGTAAATATTAATTCAATATTAAATTTAGAAGAACTGTATTAATAACTGAAAAAACACTATTCGTGTTTTTTCACGAGCCCAGCGAGGGGGAAGAGATGTTGAGCCTTCAGGAAGCAGACAACAAAGGGAAGGATAAACTGAAACACCACGAAACAGAAAAAAAAAAAAAAAAAACAAACCAAAACATACTGTGAGCACATATTGTGAGCTATGTGAAGCAGGAAGAGAGCCTTTCAGACAGCTGTGTGGGAGAAGTCACAGGCGGACCGAAGGAAAGCTTCGCCAAGTCACTCGCATCATGACCCCCAACCGAGCCCTGTTTACGTAAGCGGGACCCTTTCCTCCTCCAGACGGGTTCCACGGGCCCTGCCGCCCCTCACCGAGGACCCACCGCGCCCGCCCACCCGCGGCCCTCACAGCGCCCAGCGCTTCTCACCCGGTCCCTGCGGCATTCCCCGGCGGACTCCCCGCGGCCGCTCCCGCTGCCTCTGAGGCGCCCCCGCCAGAGCCGCTGTGTTACCGGCCGTTGGAACCGTTACCGGCCGTTGGAACCGTTACGGCCGTTCGGCGCCAGCCCCAGCGCGAGCTAAGCGGGCACGACTGGGCGCGCAGCGTGGGAGCCTGCACCACGCACGTGACAGCGGCGGGGCGGGCTGGGGCCGAGGGCGGCTGGGGGGCGTGTCACGTGACGGCAAGCCTCGGGAGGGACCCCTCCCGCTTGACCGTTCGCGCTCGCCGTCACGTGTCCGACGATGAGCAGTTCCTCCCTCCTCTCACCGCCTATTGGACGCGGTAAGCGCGACCACGTGACGTCTCCGCTCAACCTCCGCGGGTTTGGCTGTCGCTGTTTGGGGCCTGCCCCTGGCGGTCCCGTCCCGTCCTCTCGGTACCTCAGCTGCGGCTCCTGGCCTGGCCTGGCCTGGCCTGGCCTGGCCTGGCCTGGCCGGTATCCCCCCTGCGCAGGCATCGCTCTGAGGGCGCTCATGAGGGCCCGGGAGCTTGTCTTTGCTCTCGGTAGCTGGGTCCGCGGCAGGGGCAGGCCGGCGGGCACGGCCACCGCTCCCTTTAGCGGTGAGGCTGAATGGCACCTTTCTGCCTCCACACCTTCACTGGCGTGAGGGCGAGGAGAGAATGAGATGAGGTCGCAAGCAGCCCAGGCCTCCTTCCGCGGACAGAGCCGAGCAGGGCTGTGATGGGGTATGTGCCGGTTCTGCTGCAGGTCTGTAGTGTCTGAAACCAGCTGCATCCCATAGACTGTGTTGACTGTCTTCTGACACAGGCACTTAAAGGCTTGTCTCCATTCAAAGATACTTAGCCAGTACATAAGTGCCTATTACAACTTAGCATTAACATAATACAAGGGGTAATGGGTTAAAGCTTAAATAGGGGGGATTCAGGTTAGATGTAAGGAAGAAGCTATTTACAGTGAGTGTTGGTGAGACACTGGCACTGGTTGCCCAGAGAAGCTGTGGATGCCTCATCCCTGGAAGTGTTCAAGGCCAGGTTGGATGGGGCTTGGAGCAACCTGGTGTAGTGGAAGGTGTCTTTGCCCATGGCAGAGGGGTTAGAACTAGATGATCTCAAGGTCCTTTCCAACCCTGACTATTCTATGATTCTGTAATTTTGTCTTGTTACAGTTCTGTGTCTACACCTGTGGATCAAGTAGGAGACAAAGCTGGGGGAGTATCCAGGAAAGGGAAGATTGGAGACTAGCCATCCCAAGAGAGCTCTTTTGCTACACAAAGTTGTTACCAGGAAATGCCTTCCACTTTTCTCAAGATTTCTTTATTTTCCTGACAGTGCACAGGGTCAGGAGGCAGCTGGAGTTTGCAGCAGGAGAGGAACTGATCAGTCTGAAACATAAAGCAGTAGGGGAGGGCCCACTGGAAGTATCAGTTTAGGGCTGGTCAGATTAGGAGGAAACTGTTTAAAGAAGAAATTGTGATTTAAAAAGGGGAAAAGAAAAATCAAGTTCACTACCCAGGAATGAAGTTTGGATGGATCCCTCTGAGAGGAAGTCAGTGATGCTGAGCAAATTCTGCCCTGGAATATGAAGCGAGGAAAGCACAGCAGTAGGTCTGGGGCAAAAAGAGATGTTCCCTGCTAAGTTCCTGCTTGCTGTGCTCTTGTGTGACCTTAGCTGGCATCAGCAAAGCAGTGCTGAATTGGCTGTGCAAATTCTGGAGCAACAGAAAGAGAAGGCATAAATAAGGAGATATGTTGAACAGTGTCATCAGAGCCTCCACAGGAAGCCCTAGAAGGGCCAGAATGGGAACATACACAATGCTTATTTTCAGCTTGTGTTTGTAGCTCCACAGAGGAATCATCGATCAAGAACAGCTGCCTTTCCTGACAGTGCTAGGGAGTGGTGTTGAAGGTGGAGCTCTGTAAACAGAACTTTGATCCTATTTAGTACCTGTAGAACAGACCTGCTTAGTTACGATACACAAGAAACCTGGTTGTTCTAGCAAGTACTGGAACACAAACCTCCAGTCAGGTTTTTTTATTCATGTGGGTTTAAGTTTGTTGTTATTAATTATCACTAATCAGTTTTTACTGTGTGCAGTAGGTCCTTAAACAGTGGTTGTTGACAGTTTATACTGTGCCAGAACTTTACAATTGGCTGAAACAGCTAAAAAAATTGCTCTGTATGGAGCAGAAGTAATTTTATAATCTCTCAAATAACTAGTTTCAGTTCTTTGTCTTTCAGTTTGGCTTTTTTTAAAAGCCAATGATAACAAAAAGCAACCATCCCCCAACCATTTTTTCTTAAAGGAAAGGGATATGAAACCTTATATCCGTCTTGGAAAAGTTATGACAAACTGGAAATGTTATGAAAGCATTAAATACGCCAACTAGACAAAACCATGATATTCAGAGACAAGTTTTGTGGAATAAAAGGAAATATTGCTAAAGACAGTATACAGACAATGTGTGTAACTCTTGCTGACTTTGGTGGGTCAGCTGAGATGCTGGCCTTACCCTCTCTCTTATATTGATAGTCTCAGCTAACATCTCCCTTGGTAACAGTAGCAGGTGACTTTGATGTGCTTTTCTCAAGTGACCAAACTGGGAACACTGGAGATTGAAAATGGACAATAGCACAGCATGGAATTACACCCCAAACCTTAATGCACCTTAAATCAGTAGTTTCATTCCTAACTATCCATTGTCCAGGCTGAATATCACAAAAGTGTGTGTAGTCATAGATAAATCCAAGTTTAGGAGGATTTATAATCTTGTCAGTTGTAGATTAAAAGCTCTGTTCTGTATCTGCAGCTCTATAAGTGACCACAATGAAGAGTGATGATGGCAACTGTCAGTGATCCGTTAAAGGATATTGGAAGAAGAACATTATTCAAAGTGTTTCTCTCATTCAGCATTATTTTTTCCACCAGTTGATTAACTGTTTTCACTCAAACTGCAGAGCCCTAGGGTATGGTGCCAGCTAAATCTCATATATAAGCTATCTGGAGCTAAATGTCACCTGCATGGAGCTGGCATCTTAATCCAACTCTGTTCTGCATTCCTCACCATCAACTTTCTGTGGATGTGTAAGAACAGGTACCCAAGCTACACAAACAGCTGTTATTCAGCAAAACCTCTTTCAAAGTGATACTGCTGCAAAACGGTGCCAAAGGCGTCAGGGCTCTTAAGTTCTCCCCTAATCAAAAGAGGGACTCCGTTTGGCAGGAGCTGATTCCACTGATAGTCTCTCCATTGAGAAATGTGTGGGGTAACATTGACACTCTGTGGCCAGCCAGATAAAATGCAGTCTCTGGATTTTCACAGGTTTTTTTGCTTTCATCCATTTCACCATGTAGTAAAGATCAGTTTGTAGCTTTCATTCTTGTTGATAATTTCCAGTATCTTTTCAATAACTCTTTATTATTATAAAAATGTCCTAAACATGTAAGCTAAGATAAAAACTAGAAACAAATGATTAAACCTTGTATCCGGAATCCCTGAGTCTGAGGAGCGCTCAGTGAGACTCCACTGTTGTTTTGGAACTTAGCAAGTTGTAGGAAGTGCATTTTCAGGTCCATGCTTACATCCCTGTCATTTTAATCACATATTTTGTTTTCCTGTGGAACTGGAATGAAGGAAGGCCCCTTAAGGGGAGCTGGATTTGTGTATTGCAATTTCCTCCAGTCTAATCTGGAGAGGGGAGCTTTTTCAGTATACCTCCAAGCTATAATTTTTACTTCCCGTAGAAGTAACAGATATTACCTGTACTATACATAGTGCAGGTAGGCAGTGTGGTTAAGCACCATTCAATAGCCCCTGTAGGTGTTCTTCTTGATTGCAACTGAAGGAATAGTAAAAGAAAATGAAAAAAAACAGTTGTTGGTTCATATCTCTTGCATTCAACAGGTGGAGGAGTGAATACTAAGATATGTGAGAGGATGGTTTTGGCACACATAACTTTTGTAGATGTACCCATTTTTTGCTCTTATTTTGCTTTTCAACTAGAAACATTAAGAATAATGGTAGAATTGTAATTAAGGCATTTCAAGATAGTCAGAGCTGTATCTTAACTAGTTTCTAACGTGAAAACAGCATGTATGCAGTATTGAGCATAGTTCCAACCTCCCTGCCACGGGCAGGGACACCTCCCACTGGACCAGGTTGCTCAAAGCCCCATCCAACCTGGCCTTGAACACTACCAGGGATGGGACAGCCGCAGCTTCTCTGGGCAACCTGTGCCAGGGCCTCACCATCTTCATAATAAAAAATGTCTTCTTTATATCCAGTAGAAACTTCTCGCAGTTTAAAGTCTCTTCCTTTCTCCCGTCTGTGCCTCTGGTGTGAGGGCAGAGTGCTTTGACAATGAATATAGTGATCAAGACAAAATTCCAGTTACTGGAATAATTAGGGCATGGGGAGGAGGGAGATTCAGTACTAGTCCTGGTTATTGCTCTTTGTGATGAATATCGAGGATACAGGGAGATGCATGCCTAACAAACAGAAACAAATAAATTGCCTGTAATTCTATGAACTGTGAACGTTAGCAACCACTGGCTTTGCTCCTGTAAATTCAGAGACATGAAACACGAGGCAAGAACATTAGTTCCACCCATGTAAGACACTGCTAGGGTAGGGGCTGTCCTCGTCTCTGAACACAGTTTCTGAATTATTTAGCATATGGTCTTTCTGCTCCAGCAAGAGACTCACTCAGAGCTCATCTTGGCTGCTTTTACTTTCTTTTCTTTTGTTCTTTCTTAAACAGACTTGTAATTGTTCCTGTGTATTATTTACTGGGAGTACTATGCTTTTATAACATAGCTGTGGGTGGAGCAGAGTCTGTAGGCACAAATTGCACCTGATATTCGGGATAATTTTCAGGAAGAAAGAAAATAGGCTGCAATTCAACACATGGAGTATGAGAATGTAAAAAAAACTCAAAGACTATAGAGTTGCCTCTATTTTCCCATGAATTTCTCTATTCTGTGCCATAGAAAACCGAAAAGCAAATTTCAGTAAAACTGTACCCTGGTTGCAATCTTTATTCTGTCTTTATTTCTTCTTTTTATTTTATATCTTTTTAACAGAAGCAGCATGCTTCTGTAGCCTGTTAGAGAATGATGCAATAAAGACTCCATCACATCATATTTCAAATACTCAATTATTTATCAGATGGTAGAATCTCCAACCTTGCTTCCTGTATCTATGTTTTCATTTACTTAAAAGAAATTACAGTGCTAAGAATGTTGGGTCAGGTGTAACACTGGTTACACAGCCACCTGTCAAGCCTCAGAGAAGATGAGAAGTAGCAAAGGCAGGAGAAACATGAAAAGACCAAGAGACAATTCACTTGGTCTATTGGTACATAAAAAATACCAACTGTGTTAAGCTTATAGTACAATGCAGTATGGGCAGGCAGGTTTTCCCAGAATGGAAAACAAGCAGGTTAAGGAGCCAGACAATGTAACTTAATGTAAAAAATGAAAACACGGACAAGTGGGTAACCCTTGAGCAGAAGCGCACACTTCAGAATATACAAGGAGTCCTCTGAAGGGCTACGATGTGCTATGCACTGCAGTTATTGTTTTTTACTCCTATTTAGAGAGTCTCCTGCCCTTTTTGCACTTACAGACTGGTTTTAGAAAAGATCACATGCAAACGAACAGTGCATGATGTATCACATGTGTGGTGGTGCATTTATGCTGTTAGCTTACTTTGCAACAACTGCTGTAAATGAACATTAGCTTTTGAACTAACCAAAAGCCTGACAATGGTAACGTAAGTGATGTGGGTGATAGGATCAAATGAACCCTGATGAAGTTTGCCAGTGATCACAAGACCATGTTGGATGGGGCTTTGAGCAATCTGGTGTAGTGGAAGTGTCTCTGCCTGTGGCAGAGGGGTTTGAACTATATGAGCTTTAAGTTCCCTTTCAGCTGAATCCATTCTAACTCGAGGTCCTTTCAAAGGAGGCTGGAGAACAGCTCTGTGTTAACGCTATGACATGAGATCTGCAGCTGCTTTCAGTTCTGCATGACTCTGAGCAGCCTTTTAGGAACAAACCCCAACCAATAGAGAAGGTAAATACCAGCTTTGCTGGGACTCTGCCTGGTGCTGCTCTTGCAGAAGTGACTCTGGGAGCTGTTTCAGCAGCACATTTTTGCTTCTGGCATGTAAAGTTCAAGTGTGCTGCCTTGTTAAAACATTTTTTCCTTATTTTAAAGAATTCTTTTACCCCCTCAGCCACTGACTGACATGGCTTCACTTACAAAAGTTAAAATGTAGTAAATACCTTCTAGATTTTCACCTCAGGGAAAGCGTTTTTACTGGTTGTATTTCAATAAGACGTTAAAAAACATGCTTGTGTGCATTTTTTAAATTGCTGTCATTTCTCTCTGCACGACAGGCAGCAAAAGCTGATGCTGCAGAGGTTGGTATTGTACTTTTAACACGAGACTGACAGAAAAATGGTCAGTTCTCTTGTTGCTCATGTTTAAATCCACGCCCTTAAGCTGTGATTCAGCAAATTCCCAGAGTAACCCTGGTTTGAAACCCGGGTTCCTCCTTCTCCTGTCCTGCCGGGGGTGGATTTCCTCTTGAGAAGCCAATGAACAAAAGCTTATTTATTTCTGGACGTGGTGAAGGGGAAACTTGCTCCAGCATCTCTCCACCTCTTCCTGCAGAGTGCTAGGTCTCTTTTGCACTGATCAGGTCATGAATGAAAATAGAAGTGAGTAGCAGCAGAGCTGGGGTATAAAAACTGTTTCAAACCGTGCTCCCTGGCTGTGTTCTACACTTCATAAATAATAGCTCTCACCTCATTTTAGCTACAAAGACAAGCAAAAGCAAGCTGCCTGTGTCTGTCTTCAGCAAACCTAAGTGCTCTCTCAGAGAGGCAGGACTGAGCACTCTTATTAACTGACATTATTGAGGAAATACGCTTGCTTGCTTCTTTTGGCTGCAATTTTTGTGCTACAGTTGCGGCAGCATCTTGATGGGGAAGCTGATCTCTAAAGACCGGCGCAAAAGAGATGCTCGAGTTGTCATGCTGGGGCTCGACTTGGCTGGCAAATCCACCCTTCTGTACAAACTCAAGAGCGGCCAGGCTGTGGAGACCTGCCCAACGGTTGGCTTCAACGTGGAGTCTCTGCAGACACCCTGTGGTGTATCCTTCACCCTCTGGGACATTGGCGGACAAGACAGCCTGCGGGCAAGCTGGCCTGACTACCTGGAGGACACCAACACCCTCATCTTCGTGCTCGACAGCACAGACACAGCACGGCTGCCTGAGGCGGCGGCAGCGCTGGAGGATGCCCTGAGCCACCCCAGCATGGCTGGCATCCCCGTCCTCCTGCTGGCCAACAAGCAGGATGTGCCGGGAGTGCTGGCTCCAGCCGAGCTGGAGGAGAAGCTGTGCTGGGGGCAGCTGGCCAGGCGCCGCTGGGTGCTCCAGGGATGCAGTGCCCACACTGGGCAGGGCCTGCAGGAAGTCCTGGCCATCCTGGGATTGCTGCTGAGGGGTCTGGAGCAGAGCTTCCCGTCCCAAGAGCAGCCCTTCACAGGGCCAGTGGGGAGCAGGCAAGCTCCAGAGCAAACCTGAACCTCGGAACCATCTTTCCCAATCATGGAGGATCCCAGCCGCTGGATACCCCCTAACCTGAGCAGATCTGCAGCTGGTACACACCATGGAATGCCCAGCCACTCACCACTGAAACCCAAGACAACCTCTGAGCAGAACTCCCATCATGGAGCATTCTTGGCCCCGTCGCTTGGACTCTCATCACCGGCTGCAGTTTGTCTGCTTTTGCCAGGCTCTGTTCATCCATTGTGTGCATGTCCAGTGCTTCAGTGGGGATGCTTTTTGTCAGATCGATATAAACTGTAACAGAGATGTGCACAACAGACAGAAGAAGTTTTATTCTTTCTGTGGCTCCCAGCCCAGATGCAGATATCCTGATGGGGTGATCCCCACAGGGGGGTGTTTGAATGTGTCCCACGCTGCTTCTGTCTTTGCTTGAAACACATGTTCATTGGCTGGAAAAGCAAACAGCCTCTAAAAGAAATGGCTAAATGGGAGCAGCAGAAGCGCAGGACTTGAAATGTTAAGCTAATTGATGTTAGTGCAGCATCTGCAGGTATAAACTTCAAGGCATGGAAGCAAGTAAGGATTTGATGGTGTAATGCGGTTTGAGGATGTGTATGTAATTTCTGCATTTCTTGTTCTGGGTCTTTCTTTTCTACTCGCTGCTTTTATCCAAACTGATTTAATGAAAATGGTACCTCATCTTCCTTGTATTTTATTTAAATATGAAGAAATTAAACCTGACTTCCAGATGTTGGAAACACATCTGCATGGCCCGTCAACCTCTAAATATCCTCATGGTGGTCTGAACAGCCAAGATGAAATCCCATCTCTCAGACTTTTTGAACTGGACAAGACCACTCTACATGCAATGACTGATAACCATGGGCATTTATGGGCACAGGCAGGTTGGCAACCAAAGGGACCTCCACACGCAGCTGCATCAGGGTAGCTGAAATGCCCCTGGCAGCTCACAGTGGGGCTAGGTGGGTCCCTTACTGCAGTAGTGGTCTTTGTCCAACCCTGCTCAGCCTGCATAGAATATGCGCCTGAGGGCTCCCTGTACCCAAAATGCTGGTTTTTCATTTTTAAATTAAGAAATGTCACAGTATTCCCTACTTCATTATGAAATGAATGGAAGGGCGGGGGGGAAGGGGAGAAAGGACGCAACGTTTTCAGACAGCAGAAGTCATCTTCTTTCAAGGAAGAACATATTCAACCTAGAAACACCAAGGAGAAATACACACAAAATCTTCTGTTCATACCAGAGCATTCTACAGTTGTTAAGGAGTTAATCACCCAGCTGTTACTGCTGCTGTTATTAGCCTCATTTTGTAGAAGGCAGCAGCTGGAATAAGAGAGCTCAAATGGTCATGAAGAAATAGAATCTGACATTTATAGGATGATCTCAATAAAAGTAATCCTTTACAATGGAAAAAGTCTTGTTTTTTTTTTTTTAACTGTATTAATGTAGAACTAGTATATGCTATAAAATAGTGCTCCTATGTTGATCTGGCCAAAGTGATCATGGTTATGAGTATACTTAGCACTGAATCATATAATTCATTATATGACAAACCTGTGTGCATGCTAAGGACAAAATCACGTCTTTAAATCTTTGCAGTTAACATCAGCAGGTTGATCTGCCTTTGGCTTGCTGTAGGTGCTCATTTGTAACACACAAGTCTCCAACACACATGTTGAGCGTTTGACTGTCAGAGCCAGACCAAGCAGTTTTTGTGAGACAAACCAAGTGGTAATACCTATACATAGATGAACAAACTCAGGTCATCTGTGCAGCCTGGTTGCTGGTACATGAAAAAGCCGCATCTTCTTGGTGGCCCATCTGGCTATTTTGAACACCAGTCCCAGAGGCACAAGACAAAATACTCTTTGTGTTGCATTGTCATGCCAAAAAGAAATCTTGCTGAATTCATGGTATTTTGGTCTTGTGTCTCACTGGTACAAGGCAGAGTATTGTGCATTAGCATGGGGGATCAGCAATAGTTTAAACTCAGACTGAGTTGTCCTGATGATGTTTTACTCTTAATGAGGTTTGACCATTTGACTCTACAGGACTGTCTGATGGTGATTTAAAAAGGCACTGAAGCCTTCCCATTATCCCATGAGTGTTTTTTAAGCCCTTTAAAGAGAAAAAATAGGGCCTTCTAGCAGCTAATAGAGGTAACCACCAGTCTTTGGTAGACACCACCAATTAAAAATCAAAATAACAAGGTAGGAGGTGGGGAAGAAGGGGTTGTTCTTGGCGCTGGAACCCTGAATGCCTGAAACTGATGAAGGAACATCCTGGTTACTGAAAATGGTCACTTCCCCTGAAACAGTAATTTGGCAAAATATGCCGTCTCATGGGGCGTCATGTGATTTACCATCCTTGTTTTCTGGAATGAGGCTTTTCTGGACACCCAGTCTCATTACTCAGTTCATTTATGCCATTGTTGGAGACTGTCAAAACGATGATGGGTCATAATATCTGAAACAGCAACGCAGAGTTTACTTCTAATTATTTTCTTTTTTCTCCTGCGTTGAAAGCGTGTTAAAACAAGTCAATCTAATGAGCCCTGCACTGCTCTAATCAACAGCTTGTGGGACGCTCTGCAGCAGTACTTAAATGCTTCAGTTTCAAATACCGCTGCCTGGTTGAAAGGGAGCAGCATGGAGATTTGCAGGAAGAAGCCAGCTCTGGGGAGGGACGTTTGTTACCCCTTTTTCCTGGCAATTCTGCAGGAGAACCTCTGCCACACAGAGCAGTATTAATCCCTTAAACATCTGTGCTTACAGACCCCAGCCAGGAGGGCACCCTTAGACAGTCTCCATCTTCCATGTGATAGATGTCATAGCTTCTGCGCTAGTTTCCAAAATAACACAGTTTCTCTCTTAGTAGCAGGAAAAGAAAAATCCTTCAGAGACTTCCTTGTTTCAGGTTCCACACAAATTTGAAGCATCCTTTGGGTTATTGGCCCCAGAACCCACTCTGGTTGCTCAGGATCTCCCTTTAGTGGCTTTTCTGGATGCTAACTACATCCACTTGCTATCCCTGATGTTGGCTATTTCAAAGCCAAAGGGAGACCTTTAGAAAAGCAGCCTGCTTCTCTTTTATTTCCTTCTATTTTTCCTTCTGTTTTTTGTTCTTTTGGCCCCACCACCCCAGCAACAAATATTTGCTTGGGAATAGTTTCACTGCTGTTTCCCCCCCACCCCCTTGTTGTAACTGACATCCCACCTCCAGACTCTGCTAGTAGCTTCCTACAGCTGCATCAGCTCTCTTTAATGGAGCTGGTCAGTTTTTAGTGTTAATGTGGTCTGCTTTTCTGTGATCATGAACCTGGTGGCTATGAGCTAAATGTATTGGCAAAATGGCCAGCTCCCAAGATAGCAAGGTTTGGAAAAAACATCTGGTCCAAAGCCCTGCTTAAATCAGGTTACCTGATTTAAGTGCCTGGTGCAGCGGTCTTGAGTGTCTCCAAGGACAGAGGCTCAACAACCCAACACTTTCAGAGGCACTTTGGTATATATTAACCTTTACAGTAACATAACTGGAATCCATAACTGCATCACTCTTTCCAGCCATCACTCCACTGAGAAGAGCCATACTGGAAAGTATCTGCCTTTCTTTGGAGCTCTCAGAGCAGTCTCCATTGCCCAGGCCCATCAGCTCCTCTAGTCCTGGGACCTCTTCTGTGTTGTGGGGATCACTGCAGTGGGAGCTGCCGTTGCGGCCTGCTGCCTCTTTGAAGGAAGACACTTCAGCCATCTTTCACACTGTTTATGGACACATACAACCCCAGACTGGCTTGGGTTGGGAGGCACCTTAAAGCTCATCCAGTTCTCAACCCCCTGCCATGGGCAGGGACACCACACACTAGACCAGGTTGCTCCAAGCCCTGTCCAGCTCGGCCTCGAACATTGCCAGGAACTGGGCAGCTGCAGCTTCTCCTATGAAAGGGCATAGCTAATTACCCACTGATTTACTAGCCTTTCTGAGGAGCTGCTTTTCAAAGCAGCTTCAACAAACCCTTATCATGACTATAAAGCCAGCACAGATTTCTGTTTGAATTTTTGGCAAGAAGTTTTCCATTTGCTCCCAGAGAGAAGGGGACAGCAAGCTGGAAAAAAACCCAACAAAACAACAACCAGTGTTAAAACCAGCACAGGAAGGACAATTCACCTCTTCCCCTTCCCTTCACCAGTACAGGAAGGATGATTCACCTTTCCCCTCTTCACAACTTCCGTGTTTCAGCTATTCTATGACACGAAGCGGTTTCTCTTTGCACATTAGCTGATTTCTGCTCTTGGCACCATTTCTTTGTTCGTGGATGGACCTACCTGGCACCTGACCTTCACTTACTGATGGAGCTTCTCTGATGGGTTTCACCGTGGTCTTGCGGAGGGGTCTGAGATCAGAGGGGAGCCACGTGATGCCAGGGCTGCAGGGTGAAGGCACAAATGGGTGACAGTGAGCTCTTTAAAGAGGGAACAGGCAGTGAGAGTGAGCTGTGACCTGCTGTAATGCTGGGAAAAGAGTGCTAGGGCAGCAGCCAGAGACCTGGGAAACAGCTGTGGAAGAAAGGGCAATAAGAACTTAAAGAAAAACCCTAAGAAGTGCTCTCTTTTCAAACACAACATGAAAAAGATTGAAAATACAAACCTTTAGTTAGGGGTCAGGCTGTACAATGCAGTGGAATGTCTTAATTATCGCTTTAGTGCACCTAACAGCTGTAAATTAATTTCCTCCTCTTAGAGAAACCCTGAAATACCACCTATAACATGTAACTCACTAAGACACAACAAGGAGCAAAGCCACATGTGACACCACATCTTAAATAACATTATTAGTGTTGTCAAATGGTATTAAAAACCAGTCATGTGATTATGACTATGACAAATGATGAACTGTTTGAGACACTGCACCCTTCCACAGGTTAATTAACCGGCCTTCATCTAAACTTTCCAACACTTGATTTTCTCATGGTGCACTTGCTTGACTTACGCCCCTGAAGTATTGTTAAAAACACCAGGTGAAGGCTGATGTCTGGGCGAGGACCTCAGCGATGTGTGTGTGGCTGGGAGCATGTCATCCCCACACCTCGTACTTCACACAAAAGGGAAGAAGAAAGCTAAATCAGCCAACTGCTGTGAAAGGTGACGCCAGCCTGATGGTTCGTTGGAACTGCATGATCTCTAAGGTCCCAGCTAACCCAAACCATTCTGTGGTTCTATGATATCAGCCTAAATTTAACAGAAGAAAGATTCGCCTTAAAGATAGGAGAGAAATTTGAAAATGTGAATCCTACAGGTTTAGAAATGGAAGTTTGTTAAACTCTATGATTCTTCTTGATGGAACCTGGGGACTGCTTCTCATGTTACAGGTGTTCCTCAGAGCCCTTGAGCCTATCAGTTTTTGGCTCTTAACCTCAACCCCAATCACCTAAACAAGGAGAAACGCTGTAAGCGTCGAAGTGTTAACACTGAGGACTTGGGGGCTCTTTTATTCTCCCCTCTCAGAAACCATCAAAAGAACCGATTGCTGTACTGCATCAATGTCAGTGGTCCTTCCAAGCTAAGTTTGTGTGAGAGCTAAACATGGCAGCAGAGAGGCAAAAGTTCCTCGCTGGCAGGTTTCACTGCCAGCTGCATTGGGCTGACATCCCAGGTCAGGCTATTCACCTCTGTTACACGCGAGAAACTTAGTGTGTGCGTAACTTCCTCCTGACTTACTCAGAGTG